TGGGGACCGCGTGATCCTCACTTTGCCTGGTTGGAGACACTACAAGATATGGCTGCCAACCGTTGTCAGTGGCGTTCTTGTTGTCAGTTTTTGTCCAGATTGCCTGAATGAATGTCTGGAGGTGTAGGCACCTCGGAATGATTGTGTTAAGCTAGCACTAAGTCCCTCCCCCATCCACCTTTATTCTTTTCTTTACAATAAGGCTTTCAAATAAGTCATGGCTGTACGGCAGTGAAGCATTGGTGTTGAGCACTGATGTCATGCTGTCGTTGATGATGATGATGACCTTCCGGTCAGTAAATTTGCGCTCTGAACAATGAGACACCTGAAGCTCGTGTCCTGCAAATCTGGGAATACCAAAATTACGGGTGGTTTATACGTATGTTCTGACAACTGACGGAGCACCTGACGGGGCAGAAATCGCACACACTGGTCTCGCCTCAAAACTTCCTCGGCCGTCATAAAGTAGCGAAAGACAAGTGCTGTCAATAATCTCGTTAGGACTGAACTCAAAATGAGTGCCACATACACTACGGACCCCTTTTTTGAAAACAGGTGTCAATACGGAGTATACCCAGTTGTCTGGGTAGACCTCCTTCTCAAATGGAAGCGAACGAATCAGACAAACACTAGATTAAAAGTTCATCCCAATTCTCCAATAATGCGGGAGGTCATCTGGACCAGCAGTCGATGACGATTGAAAAGACATGTGCAGCTGCAAACACCTGAGGCTGTATGATGATTCAAGCACACCACCCAAGATTCTAGTGCAGTTCGGGAAGCAGACTGAGTGATGGCAGGTGGTCATGAGAATTGTTGTTCAAACTGCTTAGTCCAGAGGTCAAGGAGTCTCTCGGCGATTTGATCTCAGGTAGCCTCTCCGGCAGGCGGTGTACGCGGACTGATCGCACGGATCGGCTGAGATAATTTCCGGGTACTTCTTAATTCTCAACCCATTCCAATTACTTAGCCTTGCGTGTACACCAGGTTTCGCGGTTGGCGCAGACGCTAAGTTGCACTTGTCGCCCAATAGTCCGAGCTGTTTTATTTCCGAGAGTGACCATAACATCCCTCCGAGATAAGAATGGTGACAGTGTTCCGTCTGATGCTCATTGTTTGGGTGCGAAGTGAGATGGCCCAGTCATTGCAGTGCTAATTTACTGACCGGAAAATCCGTGGTTCGAACTCGACCTATGCATCTCGATTTCTCCTGTCTAGGCTTGGGAAACCTCGCAATACCCCAGTGTTCGTGCTTCCTCCGGATGGCAGCTAGGCACCGAAAAGGTTTTGCAGCTGAGCGATCTATTTTAATTTTATTCCAGTACTTTGGATGGAACGTATAGTGTCATACCGCAGGCGAAACTACCAGGGAAGTTAGAACACGTAGCAATCTCGTTCCAGTGTGAATTAACAGCTGACGATGGGGCAATCAGAAAAGATGCAATGAGATGCTCTGGATCGGTGGGTTTTTCAGTTGCTCAGCGGAGAGTAATCATGCACTCTGTAAAGTATGCTACAATAATATGGATTTGATTATTATTGGATAAATAATGGCTGCACAGAGATGAAGCATCGGTGTTTGACACTGCCAATGGTGTATAGTAGTTAGATAACAACTGATGTCAAACCGTATCAGAAACTGTCCACCTTGAGAACCAGCCGTGGTTGGTTGGAATTATGGTTTGGTCCATCCTCCAAGCAAAATACTAAGGGCCTTTTAACCCAAATATATCATCAGAGGCCAGCGACCGTTTCCGGCTTCAGTGGAAGCAACTCACACTTTAGGCAATAGACAACTTACTCCCAGTACCATGAGCTACTGAATGTATGAAATGGTTAAAGGCACAGACTTTTTGAAATTATCTGAGTTGAAAAGTTTTACCATCACCAATTTCGTGCTACGTTTGCAGTCAGTAACACGTCACCGGTCTGCAAGGCCATCATTGTACTAAATTTTACGTTTATTTGACGAGGTGAACATGTTATTCAAAGGCAGCTAAATTTGGTTCGAGATAAGGCAGCTGAGAATTGAGATGACTACTGAGGAACACTTACCAACCAATGGGTTGTTGTCGATGAAATCAAAGACCTTTCGAGTCCCCATGACGAAACTGGCAACGATCTTCCCGGGACGCTGTGTTTTATGCGCGTTCGTTACAGCACCCAAAGATACAAGGTCTACGAGCGCATCGGAAAACATTTCCGTATGGACCCCCAAATGTCTGTGGTTCCCGAGTTGTCTGAAGACAGATTGTGGGATATTCCCAATACCTGTGGGCGTGTCAGGAAAGCAGAATGATTTATAGGACTATTCAGACAAGCTTTTGTGTCGTCATGACGATTTGGGAAGGAAAAAAGGAACATTGTAAACAGCAGGGTGGTATGGGACTTTGTATCAATGAAGAACACAAACGGTCATTGTGGAACGCGGTATGTATCTCATTGCTGGTATTACTGAAACCATAAAACTGCGGCGAAAAACTGATTTAGCAACGCAAAACCTCATGCTTGTTAACGGCAAAGAAAATCTCAGTACTGCCATCAAAGAGTGTCCCCGATAGTACGCTTCCAAAAAGAGCAGGAAACGCTTCGGTTCTAAGGGTTTTTACCTCCCAAAAAAGGCACCTTCAGGAGTTTCCAGCAAGCTCTACGAGTTTCTGCATAAACGTTTTGCTAATACAGAATTTCTATAGCCTAAAATACAAACTTACAGTTCTTTTTGACGGTCATCGCAGGAATTCAACCCTTTGTGGTCTGGCGGCTGTTAAAATAGAGTCACCTCAGATGTTCCCGACCGCAAGCTTTCGTGGATTTGGAAATCGATCAAGTGCAACAAAGTCAGGATTTTATTTTCCTGAGGACGAGTTATTCCTTCGAATCAAAGTTGATCGGATATTCGGAGGGAGTTATCGGAGAGTACCGGTACTTGTGACAAAGAAATTCACTCACAAAAGATGGACTGGTTGACAAGTCAAAGCAACAACCGGTTCATTTACCTAAATGCGTGTTCTCTACGACAACTAGACAAGACAACTGAAGACATTTTGCGGTATGGAACGCAAAGCCATCTACATATCAAGCGTGCCTACAAATGAATTCCGACAGCAAAGACTTCACTAGCTTTGCAGCATCCCATTTACTGTTACCAATGTGGTCGCTTGTTTTCAACGCACAATGGATCAGATGATGAAATTTGGGAACGCTCATGAAATATTCGCCAAAACAGAAAATGTCATAGTTTGTGGACAAACGAAAGGTTTGGACAGCCGTATTTTTCATTCATTCCTGCGTGCTACCAGAAAGATGACACTAGCGTTAGACAAAACGACAGTCGCCACGGCCGGTCGTTAGATACTGAGGATTATTAAGACATATGAACCTGGTATCGCAGCTGCGGTCATACTAAGCCAAAACAATCGACTAGTCGCCTTTTTCTTGGGGACTCAATTTCATCAGGAAACCGTTCCATCGTCGAGTAGACCTACGTCGTTGTTGATATGTGCATGAATGACGATATTAACTCATGGAATAGGTACAACGGAACGCAAAAAGACAAGGCAAAAAAGATGTTTGAAGACTGAAGAGTCGAACTCCCTGACTTCAGTTTCGACGTTGCTAACGGGCCTGATGAAGATATTCGAATTGCTGATACAAGTTATCCGCATGTGGAAACAGGAAAGCTCAAACAAATGCCTGATTCGTAGAACTGTTTAGCAGCTGCTGGTAAGCTTCATTTCATGGGTTTCAAAAACCTACTTTCTACTGGTAACGTTGTAGGACACGTGCAGAACTGAAACCGACATGAAGATAACTAATGAGGGAATTGGTCTAACTACTGATGTTTGGAGAGGAAGTTTTATTGACAAGGAAGTACTCTTGTATACCAACTGCTCTATCACGCTTGAGATTCAATTTTCAGGGCATAAAACCACTTCAAGAGTTCATACGTAATTACGAGCGAGATGGCCCAAGTGGTTAGAGCAGGAATTTACTGACCGTTAGGTCAAGGGTTCAAACCCGACGTCTGCATCTCGACCTCCCCTGTCTAGGCTTAGGTAACCTAGCGGTCCCCCAGCCCTCGTGCAACCTTCGGGTGGCATAACAGTTAGACACCGAAAGGGTGCTACAGCTGAACGAGTTTTTACTTGATCGTTTGTAGAACACTAGCTCCCAGAAACTAGACTGCTACTAACTCACGGATAACAAATTTATATGGTATGAGAATAGGAAATACTGCATTAACCTGTGCGGTGCTTGCCACCGGTCGTCAAAAGTGGTCAACCATAATCCCTGCACATAAATAGAACCAACTCATCTCGCAGCAGTATGCCAGTGACGTATGGGATTGAGTGACGGTATTGAACAAATAATTAGCGTTGAATATCAGGGCAAACTAACTGTAAAATGTATGTGTGCTGGGTAACTAACCTGCCTCGAGTGTGGCCCCATCATCCACGAGGTTCTCAGAGATAAAACGGCCTATCCTGATCTCTTCAATCGAAGGCTCACGAAGCTCCGAAGTATGCAGAGGCATTGTACCATATATTAGGACATCGAGGTGACTTGAGTGAATATTAGCATCACCACGGGTGACCGGAACGTTTGGGTTAACTTGGCCTGGTGAACAGCGTAGAACGAACGGAATAGAACAAACCAATGATCTTCTTCGCGTTCTGGATCGCTGATCGAGTTATATCGACAGAGGCACCGAGAGAACAATAACCATGCTTTCCTGGTGGTGAAATGCTGACAAGGGCCCAGTCAAAGTTGATAACCCTCCGTCGGAAGAGATGTGGGACTTCGCTCAAGAAAATGGGGTAGAAATCTGCGATACCAGAATTGACAGCTTCCCTGCAATTATGACCTGAAGACTGAATTCAGATGGGTAGGTTCCATACCGACAAAGAGCGATCTTGAGCTAAAGCGGTCTTTAGCCTCGGGTTCGCAAAAAGGATATGGCCCCAATGTGAAAAGGTGATAGAGTTCAATATTCTTCAACTTGTTCTCAACAACATGTTTGTAGAGGCATTCCAAAAGTATGGTTGGTGTTGACGCTCCACCTTGTACGAAAAGCTTGTCTCCTAGAGATACGGCTAGCGAATTAGATAGGCACTACCATCTTTCAGGTCGGTAAATGCAGCTTCTGGGGTAGACCATTGTGGTACAACTCCAGGAACTGGACAAAATGGCTCCGTGTGCTCTAGGTCAACCTTGTCTGTCGTTGCTGTGCGGAGCCTACAAACAGGCGTTATGTTTTTCGACCTAACAGCTACGGTCAACAGTCGGATTAACCTATTCATCTCGGAAGCGAACGGGCCACAGGATCACCTGACGCACCGTGACCTTGGATATAAATTCCCGCCGCCCATCTACAATTGTACAATGCCCTGTTGGTACCGCCGAGGTTTTATATCCAGTGCGGTCTCTACCTTCATGGGTGAGTGAGAAGCTAATGGCTCGCAGACATCTTTGTAGCGACCTATGCGAGTTTCTTAATTGAATAGAAATGGAAAGGGCTTGTGCTGGTCTACCTAAACAGGGTTGTAAACTTGATGCGAAATTGCTCCCCTAGCGATCCGACCCAGAGTCGGCGACTTGTGGTCTGGACCGGGCAGCTTGTGTGTGAAGGCCAAAGTCAGCATGGTATATAAACTGGTGCCGAGCTACAAATGGTCATTCCTCGCTTGCTCTGTTTGCGGTCCGGGTGCCCACCACATGTAGAACGCCACCGGCATGGTTTCAACGACGGTACGGTCAATTTTTCCTGAGCCGAGTACCGCATCAACTAGATTGTTGTCAAGTAAGGTGGTTAAATGTGGTATAATATCTTGTAGGTCCACAGGATGTATCCTCGGCGAACAGAATGACCTGCGTATGTTTGATTGTTGTTTGTGTATGGATTGCTGCGATGTTTTAAGTCATCCATGGAAATCCGAGACTATGTCCGGAAAAACTATTGAATCGACTTGACCGGTGGTGATGTGCGCGTCCTGCGAGATGAACTGCGTCGCTTGGACTATCCTGTATATGACCTGCAGGGTATCCGAGATGCGCTGCGCCCATTTGGACGCATGGCTGCCTGTGGTGACGGGAGTTTGAATGTTCTTATATTTCCGTCCGTCTGCGTGGTTTTTATGCAAAGTATGGTGATGTAATTCAGGGAGATTCAACCTAGCACCGTACGCAGGTGTGGGTGGTTGGTGGTTTTTTTTCTGCTGTAAAATCCCCCCTCAAAGCGGTACTGTAGTGGTAAGTGGTATGCGTCCTTTCTGCAGGCTGGGCGAATGGGGCTCTAGTCGTTTCCTTTCCGTTACCTTGCACTAATTCTTTTCCCATTTGCTTTCCAGGCACAACTGTGGAACACATTTTTAGTGCTTGTGTTATCTGCTTGCAATCAGCCATGATAAAATTATGTTTTCCTAAAATTGGTTTCAAGCGTCACGGAAACCAGGGCATCTAGGCGTTGCTTTGAAGACCAGCTTGCTTAGGTCAGAAAAGGAAGGGCGTAACCTTCCGATTTCGTCTGTAGCCTCAGAGTGGTCCCGAAACCCTTTAGGACAACGGAGGGTCGCCTCTAACAGCATACGTTTAGCATTATGCACAATAGCCCAGCGGCCTAACCGTGCCTGAAGCACTTATTAGGCTTCATGGGTGTTTCATGTCACGGTGTTACCAGTTACGTAATCGACAGAAATATTATTCAATTCGAAGATTACATGACAGGGCGCACCGTACACTTAATACCTCGCCTGTTGTTGCATAGTATGTAGAGTCGCTAACGGAAACGGGAGGAATGATTTCCAGCCACAACTGAGTTTCAGGGTTCAAAACCCACGATGGTGACATACGTTGCTGTCGCTTTAGACATAGTTGATAAATGTCGTCAACAGTCACATTGGAAAGTTGCGGCAATAGTGGTATTCCAAGCTTTGCCTACATTGCTCACTAAATACGTCAACAACTGCTCACATTATTCTGTGTGCTCAGATGACTGGTAAACTCTTCTTCATGCCACAACGATACTTTACGTTAAGGGGTGAACGATCAGAAATAGAAAATAGGTGACCACTCAGTAAATACGCCGCCGGTGGCACCACCGCCGGGTATCGGTGCCCAAAGGTGGCTAATAGGGGTGGCATGTTACACTTGCCACTGGTAGTGCCAGAGTTACTGCTCCGGCTCAACCACATACGCTATCTTTGATCCGTTGGCTCCAAACGACGCACCGATGGTTCTGTCATTATAAACCAAAGTTGAGGCTATTCATGAACATACCGGGTCTTGCACTTAGGGCAGTCATTGACTATACCGGGTGCCTTAGCTACGCGAACACTATTCCAATGATACATGGCCTTCAAGGCTTTCATTGGGAGGAACGCAGACAATAGCACGTAGGTTTTTCCTTTCATTCAAACGAATAACGATTTCATAACTTGTGAACGATGCTGAGTGCAAACGGTTAATACACCAGGGTCAGCTGCTAAATCCATGCTGTTCTGACTAATTACTTTCTGTTACCGCAAGTAATCCCAAATACCATCTCCCTTTGGAGATATAGGTAACTTTAGGAACAAAATGTAAGATTACACTTTTTACAACCGAGCTATCTTAAACTACTGGTAATCGCACATGCTTTGCGTTAATTAGATTAAAAAATCTGTTAGAAATGTAAATTTTAAAAAGATACAACCGCATTATACTTCTGTGCTTCGTTTGAGAGGGTCAACCATAAGCCGCAAATCCGCCATGTTGTCATTTTTGAATGTTCCAGCCATCTAGATTTCAGCCAATCAGAATGGGGATGACGCCGCAAGTCGTGTGGTCACAGCCCAGCGTAACAACCAGCGCGTATGTATTCTAATTGACGCTTGAGGATATAGACAACTTTAGGGACAAAATATAGGATAACACTTTTTACAACCGAGCTATCCTAAACTACCGGTAATCACATACTCTTTGCGTTTATTAGATCAGCAAATCTGTTAACGATGTAAATTTTTAAAAGATACAACCGAACTATAAGTCTCTGCTTCGTTTGAGAGGGTCAATCGTAGACCGCAAATCCGCCATGTTGCCATTTTTGAATGTTCCCATCATCTAGATTTCAACCAATCAGAATGTGGATGACTCCGTATGTCGCGTGATCGCGATCCAACCTCCTTTCGGAGATGAAAATCTTTTTGTTATCAGTTGTCCCTCTGGATTCACAGGCCCGTCTGAGGGCACTTTGAGCTTCCTCGCAGTAGTCCCCGGAATGGGTCATTCATTCTTCATATACCTTTCTATTTGGCAAAAATTGACTTATCTGCTTGGAGTTCGGATTCAGTGATTGGGCGATTGCTAAACGGGTGCGTGGCGATTATCCAGGGTTACGTGGCTGAAAGAATAAGTGATTTCTATCTAACGGACCTGATGCGCCGCATTTGCACTGCCTGCACCGGGGTGAAAACAGACTGAAATGAACTGTTCCGCGCACCCAAAGCTAACAACGAGAATAAGCTCTGCGATACGAGACCCCACGCATCTGTGTAATACGGGGAAAGGTGTGCCGAATCGTCCGTAGAACGAAGAATGCATTTCAAAACGATTTTCCATGGTTAATTGAAAATGACAAGTTCGAAGAAAGCCGATAATTTTTTTGGAACATATCATTAAATGTCATACACTAGGTCCTCATCATGTACGAGAGAGGCGTTCATTGGGCCTCCGCAAATGTCATGTAGACGCCTTTTTCGCCATTCATAGAAAGGCGTGATTGCCAGTTCGATGCTTCTACGTATATTTGGAGAGCGCTGGCGGTGAAACATCAGGATCTCGGGGTCACTCGCAACTGAAAGCACGTCCGGAGGGTGGAGAAGATTGGGTTGAGCCTACTTTCACTCGTAGTGTTTTGTCTTCTAGGAGCGTTTTAAACCAACATTAATTTACCCCTTCAATCCCATACGGATCAAGCTTGTGGAGCAGCAGGACGTGTGGAAGTGGAGCAAATGCTTTTGAAAAGGCGAAAACTATTGCACCTAACAAGAGTCCCCTGTTCATAGCTTGGGTTTAGCTGTCCATAAATACCAGCAAGTACGCAAAGGTTAGAAGGAATCCGGGTCGCCGCTATTTGGCGCCGAGGGGATTTGATATGTCGGTTACAGGGTTCGTTCCATCACACTGCACGGTTTGCGGGTAGGGGCTAACAGGCCTGTAGCTGTCGCACACCAGGTGGTCATTAGTTTTGTAGTTCGGCGTGACAACCGATGGTCTCCAATCAAAGGGAGAGTTGCCTCCCCCGAGAAACTGGGGGAACACCTGGCAGAAATCGCTGTAGAAATACTCGCGTGAGCCGTGTTTACTTCAGGATCCCTGGAGGGATTTTGTGTGTCTCCCAGGCTGCTGCAATTATCTTTTCGAAGATTGCTGGGACCTTGCTTCCAGAATTTACCAAATCCTTACGGGAATCATTTCGTCCGTTCGACTTCCCGCCGGTTTCTTCGGTAAAGATACAGCTTTAGCCTGTTGAATTTTTTGGTCAACGATTCCATATGTCTCATGCACTGAAACTGGTCCCGGTTCAATTAGGACCTGGGAAGTCTGCATGGCAGATGTTTCGAATCAACATTTGGGGTTCCGAATTTCAGGCCCGGTAGCAGATGAGATTGTAGGTTAGCAACAGTGTTCAGTGTGTCCTGGTGGAGCCCTATTTAACACTTGACCAAAAAGTGGATTTGGTTGATGACAATCAAATCCAGGAGGAGTGGTAGTACCCCTGTGCGGTATCTGATTGACCCGTGAGGTGTTGGATACAAGCGATCCTTTGAACAGGCTTGTTCTGCGTTGATGCAAATGTCTACCAGACCAGACGCATTGGAACTTAATCCAGGAGAGCTTCAGAGAGTTAAACTCATCAACCAGCAAGGGATGGAAGAAATGTTATCTGCGGCCACCTCTGGCCCATAAAGTAGGACAGCTAGAACTGCGGCATTGTACACTGTCTTTGACAGCAGAGCTGATGTCACGTCTTTCTCACAACTGTCTGGTTTTGACGCACACTGCCCTGACACCAAGATTAAGCAAATTCAGGAGATCTGCCGTAAACGGACATGGCCATGACAAAACGCATATAAAGCACTGATAAGAGAATTTAGAAGGGTTACCTTTCGCCAAACACTGCCACAGTTTTTCACGACCAACGGAGACCAAAGTAAATTTGTGATAGTGGAGCCCAAGACACATGGTGTAAGTACTTGTGTTAAAAGTTTGTGTTAATTGGATACAGCGTATGTTCAGCACCCACCGAGGGCAGGTAACGAATTTTGAGATCACTGACCACTTAACTTAGTCGAATCGACTAATGCCACCTGTCCACATAGGGAATATGAGACTCAACTCGCTGGCGGAAGTGGCCGAATGGCGCAGCCAGTGGCGCTCCTGCATTCAACGCGCAGCTACCCAGGTTCCAAATCTAAAAACAAACATACCATCAGATTCAATGCATGACTGCCTGTCCCGCACACTCCCACATTTTAATGATCGAAACTGTGGCAGGTGAAATGAATGTGCCTGTGGAGTACGGTAAAGTAAATTGCATTGAAGCAACTAATTAAAGAAGCCTTTCCCAAATGTATGTGCAGTGAGCGTCAACTTTGGATCGACCGCCATGGGCTTCCTCAAGAATTAGTCGGACAACCGGATCACTCATATCAGCTGCCAGAATCATGACACTGGTGCTTCATGTTAACCGTAATCAGCGTGACGAACCTCAATGGAAGCTTCCTTTCTCAGCCCCAGCTGCAACATGTTTGATTGTACACTGAAACAACAAACGCTGTTTGCCACGTCGAGATACGTTGATTTTGATTAAGCCGGCAAAGACGACTATCGACTGGTATCCGGTCCAGCGAAGCGCATTCAGTCCTGAGGCGAAGGACAAATCCAGTATATACCACGGTCCATTGCATCGGGGCCCTGAGATACCTGAAGTGTAAAATACCGCTGACATAGATGGACCGCTATTCATTGCAATGTTTTAAGCAAAACTCAGGTGGTATAGAAACCACATCATGGAATGTGGATAACACTAATAGCGTCCAAATTCTCCGTATGCTATTTGAAACCCTCCTGTCAAAATGTAAGATGTCCACCTCAGGGTTCCCGTCGTTGTGATGGAGGAGCCCAGAAGTTTGGAAGTAATTAGCAGTGAACTCAGCTGCTATGACTACTGTTGTCTTCGTAGATGAGGAATCCGAGACAGGTTATATCAACGCTCGGGGACGTCGTCAGGCATGGTCCAGTAGGTTCCTTGATAGTGCTCTGCATCCAAGCTGTTGCCTTCAGTGCATAGCCCCCTCCCAATCTTCTCAATCAAAAGCTCAATGCCGCCCCGTTTTGTAAGCAGCAATTATATCAACTACCACATATAGTGCATACCCATCGAACATAACTCCTCAAATATTTGGCGAACGAATCTGCTGTATCTATAACCTTTGTCGGACAAGTACGCAAATTTTCCGGCTGATGATGACGATGACGCAGAACAACACTAGTCTCGGCATACGATATTTCGGCATGGGTATCTTATGGCCTGGCTAATGAATTTGATGGCGCTGGATGTTTTCTGCGACCGAAGTGTCTGCCCCACAACCAAATATCATTATCCAACCTGAAAAAATCCCGCTTCTTAAAAAATTGCGTATCCTGACCCAACGACCTTGATTATGGCGTCCGTTGCGGGGCTGTCCAGAAACCAGAGTTTGTCAGGCCAATGACGGCACGGTACTGACATGCTCAGTTTAAAAGAACACACTCTTGTCCGTGGTCTCTCACATACTCGTTGAATTAGTGGCAAATACGTATAAACTCCAGGACGTGTTCATTCAAATTTGCAGAACCCTTCGTTCGAATTTAAACAGTTCGGTGGACTCTGTCTGTGCTTTCCATAAAGTCAGTAATTTTCTGTACAGCTCGCATTCTGCCTTGTGTGTTGTCACCAACTCAATTTTCCCCGAATCCTTTCAGCCGACTCCCTCCAACCACTGAGTCACTACAGTTCTATTGTTCTTCAGGATTCTGAGATTATTGCTACCATTTATCCGCATAACTAATCCCTCCACTTCATCACTCGCACCTACGCCTTTCGTGACCATGACCATAAGCCTTACAGTTTAAGGCTACGGGGCCTAGCTGATGGTTTCATTTGGAATAGATTGGCTGGTTTACGCCAAAACGACAGGTTCATTTTCCTGGTTCCTCGTTTTCTAAAATTTGCGGATTTCTTGACATGTGTTAGGCAGTGTCTCTTGTTTTTCACCTCTATCATGTTGTTTTTGCCCGCCACGGTCAAGTTCCAACGTCTGCATCGGATAGTGTCCGCTGCATCCTAGAGACACATCCGAAATTTCTCCGGAACCCTGATTCAAAAAATCTTTAACACAAAGTTTAAGCATTTGATGGTTATTATTCGGGCGCCTAAGATCTCCCCATGCAACCGCGGTTTCATTGGAAGTTGCTTAAACGAACTCGGAGTCCACTGTAAGAGCGGAATTCGTATTATAATGGCCGCGGGTGGCTTCACCAATCGTCTGTATGAAAGCGGTGGAGAAGTTTGTGGGAAAGCAGGTTTCATCGGGTGTTTTCTTACGCATTAGATTTGGAAATAACCACAAAATGACTTGGACAATAGTCAAGCCCATTTCGTCCGCGCAAACTCAAATCGGAGCGGCCATTCGCAACCCGGTTACTTAAAGTTTTTTGTGGTTGTGACAAGCGGCCAGATGAAACAAAGGAATTCGTCACAGCTAGTGCTTTTTGTTTTTTTATGATGATCAGCAAACGTTGTTGTCTGGATTAGGGCAGGTTTTGATCTTCACCGATAAACCGAGCCACTAATGGCGTTGTTGAATGAGCTATTAATTTTGTGAACGGAACAAGCGGACTGCGCATTCATGTGACCACTGCTTCCAAATCCTCGCAAAAAGTAAAGGGAACGAAACAGTCTTCAGGGTGACGCACTCGTCTGGAAATTACTACTACTAATAATAATGTTTATTCCGAACTACTGGTAAGCCATCAGACTGGGTGTGGCAGTCGCTTTACCGTCATCGCAACGCCGTACTTATGTTCGTGGATACCCCTGTACATAAACGTGTTGGATGAGCCGCTAATAGCTGTTATTGTAGTTAGGATAGTTTTGGGTCTATCGACGGTTCGTGTTGGTTCATTGCTGCCTTTAAAACAAGGTAATAAGACAGCCATGTCTATATTGGGGACTCAAAATAAGAAAGTGTCTGAAAGGTATGTTAGAAAGCACTTTGATATGAGTTTAAATGCCTCCCGAAATAACAG